CCCCGCCGTCGCCTCCGTCGCCTTCGCCTCCCAGCGGCGGCAACACTCCGAGTCCGCCGTCTCGGAGCTCGCCCTCTCCACCGTCCGGATCGAACCGGACCACGCCGGCATCGCCGTCTTCGTCGTCGAGTATTTCGACCGGTGTGGTTGTCGGAATCGCCGTCGGCGCCGTAGCGGTTCTTCTCGTGCTTAGCATTCTCTGCATATGCTGTCGGAAGAAGAAGAGAAGACGCGACGAAGAGTACTATCCTCAGCCGCCGCCGCCGCCGCGGGGACCCAAAGGTGAGAGAGCCTTGCATGTTTTTTCTACTTCTAGGTCTATTAATTTCTATTTTTTGTTTTCAATGAATTATATTCAGTTTCAAGATTTGTTCAATGTTTATTCCGAATGCTATTGGTGCTATGATCCCTCTTACTGAATCTTGTTTCTTCGGATGCACATTATTAACTTTTAGCCATGTATAGTAAAGCTAGCTGCATATATTTTCACGTTTTAGATTTTCTCTTAATTGTTAAGTTTGCTCTAATTCTCTAAGAAATGAAGGTTTGGTGGTAATGAGGCTTCCAGTGGATTGAGTTTCTTTAGTTAAAATCAACTTTATGGTTTCATGTTGAAAGAGCTTTTATAAAAGTTTAAGTTCATAAGTTGATTTTAATTTATAGGAGTTTATCCAAATAGAATCTATTCGTTTCATGCCGATTTTGTTCATAATTGTTGGATATTGTTGTAGTCATTGAAGAAATGAATGGATCCTTATTTTGTGTCTTTTGGTGATGATGTTCAAAGGTATTCAATTCAAGTCTAATGATAATTTCACTCATTTCAATGTTGTTCGCTTCACAATTGTTAGATGATCCATATGGTGGTCCTCCACGTCAATGGCAACAAAATGTCCAACCTCCTCAGAATCATGTGGTCTCAATGATGCCTCCTAAACCATCACCTCCGCCGGCTGCACCACCGGCCTATGCTGCTCAACCTCCGCCACCGCCACCGCCTTTCATAAGCAGCAGTGGTGGGTCAGGATCAAACTATTCGGGTGGTGAACCACTTCCTCCTCCCTCTCCAGGAATAGCATTGGGGTTCTCCAAGAGCACGTTCACGTACGAGGAGTTGGCACGTGCTACCGATGGCTTCTCCGATGCCAACCTCCTTGGACAAGGTGGATTTGGATATGTGCACAGAGGGATCCTTCCCAATGGCAAGGAGGTGGCAGTGAAGCAATTGAAGGCTGGAAGTGGTCAAGGGGAGCGTGAGTTCCAAGCTGAGGTTGAGATAATTAGCCGTGTCCATCACAAGCACCTTGTTTCTTTGGTTGGATACTGCATCACTGGGTCCCAGAGGCTGCTTGTCTATGAATTTGTTCCCAACAACACATTGGAATTCCATTTGCATGGTTGGTAGCTTTTCTATCACAAGATTCCTTTTAAATTTCTGTTTAGTTGGTCCATCTTTTCTGATGAAAGTGGGCTAGGCACCAACTATGTTGTGTGTTGTCGCATAATGCTTTTGGTGGAAGCAGTCTTGAATCTTGATGGTTATTTGCACTGCAGGAAAAGGGCGTCCTACCATGGATTGGCCCACAAGACTAAGAATTGCTTTAGGATCTGCTAAGGGACTGGCCTATCTTCATGAAGATTGTATGTTTTGTAATTTGTACCTCTGATTATGATTTCTTCATCAGTTATTAATCTATGTCAAGTTGTCAACCTAAATGTTTATTGTGATTTTGTGTATGTCCAGGTCATCCTAAGATCATCCATCGCGATATCAAAGCTGCCAACATCCTTCTGGATTTTAAGTTTGAAGCAAAGGTGTGTTGTTCTGTTTTCTGTCTACCTACTTGGTGGTGATGAACCCTTTGAAATGTTATTTGATGTTATGATAGTGTTGCTTAGCATCTAGACCTTTGTTTTTTTGTTGACAGGTTGCAGATTTCGGTCTTGCAAAGTTCTCTTCCGATGTCAACACTCATGTTTCTACTCGAGTGATGGGAACTTTTGGGTACGAACAAACTTCCTTCTGTCTATCTTCTCAAGATCTTTTGATATCATCATAAAATGTAGCTTGTATATTAATCTGTAATTAATAGATGAATTCTTTAATGGCATTAGAGAGAGCACATATTGTAGCTAAAAGCCTCAAACTTTCAACTTTAAACTGAACTATTTAGTGTCTTCGTGCTGATAAGTAAAAGTGTAAAGCCAACAACAAAAAGCTGGATCACATTTTGTTGTTTGGCATTGTATTTCAAGCTCATGAGTCATGCATGAATTTTTACTTTACAGGTATCTGGCTCCAGAATATGCTTCTAGTGGAAAACTCACAGACAAGTCAGATGTTTTCTCCTATGGAGTCATGCTCCTCGAGTTGATAACTGGACGGAGGCCAGTTGATAAAAATCAAACTTTCATGGAGGATAGTTTGGTAGACTGGGTAAGTACTATCATCACTTGCAACTATAAATTCATAGATATGTATATATTTATGAAATATGAAATATGAAATATGAAATAAGAACATGGTGATATAGAGCAATTCTTAACTATATCAATCTTTATCATCACAGGCGAGGCCTTTGCTCACACGAGCTTTGGAAGAGGACGATTTTGATTCTCTGATCGACCCCAGGCTCATGAATGAATATGATCCTAATGAGATGGCACGTATGGTGGCATGTGCCGCGGCTTGCACGCGTCATTCAGCAAAGCGTCGACCAAGGATGAGCCAGGTAAATCAAAATTCTAAGCACATAGTTAATTAGTTCTCCAATACATAGGGCAGTATATTATATTCAGAATGGAGAATCTTGAATTGGCGTGTGATTTGAGAACAAGATCATTCAATATGAGAAAAATTTTCTATTTACTCTAATAATGATGATAAACAAACTATAGGTTGTCATTTGTCAAGTATCAAAATTCTAAGCTCATAGTTAATTCTCTAATCATAGTAAAATGTATTGTCTTGTATACCAACATTGATTGAAATAAGTGGTAGTGACTTGTGTTTTTTAATTAAGTTGTCTAGGATTCGAATTTTGACTTGGGATATGAAATTGATTAGGTGGGGATATCCGATTTGTGTGCGTGCTCACGATTTTTTATAGAAATTAATTACTGTTTTCGGTGATTTTTCGTACCAATACTATAGTCTTGTGTTGATATATTAGAAAGAAGAATCTTGCATTGGCCTGAGAACATGCTCATTCAGTGTGTCAGAATGTCTTTTGACTCTAACAATGATGATACACGAACTACAGGTTGTACGTGCTCTGGAAGGAGATGTGTCTCTTGCAGATCTTAACGAAGGAATCAGACCTGGACACAGCACTATGTACAGTTCTCATGAAAGCTCAGATTATGACACTGTACAGTACAAGGAAGACATGAAAAAGTTCAGGAAAATGGCACTGGGGACTCAGGAGTATGGTGCAAGCAGTGAGTACAGTGCAGCCACAAGTGAGTATGGTTTAAACCCATCTGGCTCAAGCAGTGAAGCACAGAGTCGCCAAACCACAAGGGAAATGGAAATGAGAAAGATGAGGAACAGTCAAGGTTTCAGTGGAAGCTCTTGAGACAACCTTGGCATCTGTCTCTACCTTTATCTCTTGTATAAAATCTATAAATCCTTGATTTCTTGCCAATGTCACAGTTGATTGATTGCTTTTTACTGACATCTTTGAAGAGACTTACCTGTTACCACCAATTACTATCATTTTTTTCCCCTTCACATATAATCATCATCTTTTGAATTGTATTTATCAGGGTATACACAAAAATAACACAGTTCGATTCTTTCATTTTTATTTTTCTTTGCTTATTCAGATATAGTGTTGGAAATGGATTTCATGATTTCATCAAACCTTGTTTTCCGTTGTTGCTCATGTGTCAATTTGTCGGTTGTTGGAAGTGGTCTGATTTTGTTAATGCGTTGGTGTCAAATTTTTTGTATATTTACTTCAAAAATAAAAATGTGGTTCTACCTAATTTATTTGTTTGTCGTAGAAGACAATTAGTTGCACACACGTTGTTTTTGGTCAGTGCATGTGAGGGAACATTATATCAGCCTTTAAACCTCGGGAAAGCAAGTTGGTAGGAGTAGGACTTCAAACGTGGTCTATTTAGGAGTTTCATAAATCGAATTAATTTGACTTGGTTTGGTCAGAAAAAGTGATCAAATGATTTTATAGTATGTTCGGATAACACCTAAGAATCAAATGATTTACCCTCTATAATTTTAGTGATACAATGAAAGTAAAAGTAATTATTTGTTGGTTTGTTTTGACTATGAAAAATTATTTTTCACCATGAAGTCAATCCAAATTTGCTATTAATTGATTTTATTTTATTTTTCTTCCCAATTGGACCGAGTCTTATGTAGCCTTTTTTCTATATAGCTGCCCGTTTCTTTGGTCGTTCCACCATATGGATTGTAAGATTCATGCACGTTGGATGATGAAAAAGTGTGGATTTATGTGACAACTAGCAAGTCAATTTATCCAACTCAAACAGAATTCGATTTCTTTAAACTAAGTCTCATATTTGAATATTGGTAAATGTGGTTAGAAGGAAAAATTCTACTAAAAATAGTCATTTAAGTTTTTTACGAAGGTTAATCATTTGATAAAATTAGTAAAAATTATGCATTAATAACAGGATTATAAAAGAAAAATTATCTGAAAAAAAATGCATTGAATCATTAGACAAAAGAGATAGAAAGCTAGAAAGTGGTACATCATTGCGTTTGGAGAAAGAAGAAACGTGGTGGCTCCAAGAACCCCACACGGTTTGTGCAAAGTCAGCATGCGCATTCTCATCAACTTGCAAAATGGATCTGAGCTGAAGTGGGAAAAAGAATAAGATAAGCGAATGATGTGATAAAAAAATTAATTGTGAATATTGAGAAAATTACTAAGATATATTCTTTAATACAATCATTTAATCACACTCAATTATTTGGGTCTAATCACATCATCACCCCTTTATTCTGTTACTTGCTAACGCACTTTCTAAGTTGAGAAACTCAACCATTTTTAGTTTATTTTTATTATTGAATTTCAACTGTCATGGGTGCATGCTCTCTGTTACGACCACTTCACGTTGCTCATTGTTCGTATGTTAATTTTGCGAAGAGAGTAATCCACTAGTTAATATTTATTTAGTAATACATGTTTTCATTAGCATAATTTTTAACATTTTTATTTTAATATCATTGGGCCTTAAACCCTTATTATATACTCATACATGTCACTATAGTATGTATGAAACATTTTTTCTTGTACTGTTTTTTTTGGAACTTAACACACAACACCTAACTCAATAACATCTGAAAGTAGGTTTTACTGTAATGCTAACATTTTTTTTTCATTTTTCGATTTTTGCTTAAAGTAGTGTTTGTTTCCGGTGATTTACTGTTCACGAGAAACGAAAGACGAAGAAAGTGGGTGTTTGTTTCTGGTGATTTGCAAGGAAAGAAAGACGAAGAAAAGCGAGAGAAGTGCCGTTGCTGTCCTAGCGCTTTTGCGAAGAAAAGAGATGAAAGCCACGTAAGATTTGTGAAAATCGATAATATCCCTGTCTCAAGCATGCAGAGACTCTGCCATGCAACAGAGGAATCTATGCCATGGTTCACGGGCCTTTGTCCTTCGTTTGAGTGGTACAGTGACGCGTTTGAAATGAGTTTATAAGAGACTTAGAAGCTCTGCGTGTGGTGTGTGCTGGAGCAAGGGTGATTGTTGCTGCAGTGATTCTCGACGGGGCTTCATTGAAGATAAGCTTCATCTCATTTCTTTATGCATAGGAAGGGTAGGAATGAAGCATAATCGATTATGCATGCCACATAATCGATTATGGGCTTGCATAATCGATTATGCTCAGGTAAACCATATAATTTGGCCGAAAATTTAAATTTTCTCAACACATTTTAATGTTATATACACTTAAAAAAAATAGTTTTTTTTTAATAATTATTTATTAATAATGATGGGATGTTTAAAATTATGGAGTGTCCGGATATCATTTCTCTCGAAGGAAAGTGGTCTTGATGAAACTCTCATAAGTTATTATGTTGTTAAAGAAAACAAATTAATTAACACACATGACCCACTCTAGATATAAAAGATAGAATGGAACAAGAATCAAGAATCAAGAATCAAAGGATAAAATAAAAGTAAGGGCACTAGACAGAAAAGTGATTTGGAAAATATGATAGAGAATTAGATGCCAGGTAATTTGCGGAAGATTAACGCTTCCTTGAACTGTGAGTGCAAAGATTATTCTGTAATCTCTATTTATAACTATGCCATGTGAACTTCCCAACCATACTAACCAGAGAAGACATGCAATGCAAGACATAGCTTAGTTACCCATTCTTTGTGCAGTAACTCCTCCTGCACTGCATACACATATATATAATGTACCCTTTCTCATGATACATAGCTTAGGTTCAAGTCTACACCCTCAAGATCTTAGAATGCTAGTTTCAGTCTAACTTAACCCTACAAAATAAACTTATAAGGTAAGAATTATCCTAGTTATATATCGTATTTTAGCTTTATTCCTAATCAATACAACACTTGAGTTTTTTTTCAATAAACAGATCCATATTTCATGTCCTGATGGAGCTTGATATCTTGTTATGTACCTAGTATTCATTAATGCCTCAACATTGATATGATATTATCCACTTTGAACTTAAACTTTCGTGGATTTATTTTTGGTCATCATCTAAAAGGTTTCATTTTAATGGAGTAGATATGCGTTTTATAAACTCATGTTTCTCCTCCTTTCTCAATGACATGAGACTTTGCTTGTATCCTAATATATCATTTTTCTTACCAAGAACTGAAACGAATCCTGGGCTTGAGGTAAGTTATGGTTCAACCAATTGGATGAAGGCCACGAGGAGCATTGATACATTGTATGGCTCGCGAAATAAGGGTGGTCTTCTTGTTTTGGAGTGCAAGGAAAACACAGATACAGAGCATTGTGGCTGTAGTGAAGCCACAGTGGCGCACTACTTTGTTAATAGCAAGGGAACGAGTTTTGAGAGATCAACTGAAACATATGTTGGTCTTTCTGTGGTGGCAAAGACTTGTGTGTTGAGTGGTAAAATGGATACAAAGGTGGAGGGTCCTAAGCAACACCATGTTTCTGCATTATTTCACATGTTTGATGAAGTGAATAGAACCGAGATTTGGAAGCCTACCATGTGCCCTCATTGTGATGACATTAGGAAGGTATAATGTTTTGGCAGTCTGACAGTGAAGACAGCGATGGTGTTTCCATGTCACCATATTAGTGGCAGCCGGCAATATGCTACAAGTATTGGCAATGGTGGAAGGTTGAGAGGGCATGCTAATGGAACATAAGTTGTCTAAGTTGTGTTTCTATGTAACCTACTGGTTCTTAAACTTTTGGATACCAATATGTTCCTTTCTCTCTGCCTATATATAGACAAAAAAAAGGTATTTTTTTAAACTTAAATATAAACATATTTTTACTAATTAACTTTATTTAATACTCTTAATTCAAAAATACCTTTAAGACAATAAATAAGAATACTATCTCCAATAAATATGATTAAAAATATTTTAGTAAATATAGTGTATATTTTATATGAAGTTGTGAAAGTTAAATGCATTTAATTATCTTCTTTAATATGTGTAAAGTTAATTTTTTTTTATATTTATATATAAGTCTAGAGGGAGTACAAGACACCAATGAAAAAAATAAGAAAAGAGATAAAAATGTAGATATGATAAATGAAATGATGTGATATGAAAAAAATTAAAGAAAATGGATGTCCAAAAATCGTTAGATCGAAGTGGTAATAGTACAAGTTGAGTTACAAAGAAAAATAATATGTAACTAGACTATGAACCTATTTAGATATAGTCTAGAAGGGTCTTTTTGAATTTCTCTACTAAAAATACACATTATTCTTCAATAAAAAAAACTCTAAAAAGTTATTCTAAATTTATTTTCAAACATATTATATGACTTGCATGTCTTCTCTAGTTAGCATGATTGGGATGTTCACAATGTGTTAGAATTCATGATTTAGAGGAGATAAAGAAGATAAAAATAATAAAGCTAAAAAGTTGAATTTACTCAAATGAGAAAAATAAAGTTACATGAATACAAATAAGACGTATATAATCCATTCTAATAATATTAATATTTTATATCTTTAATAGCCCCCTAGAAGTTGGGAGGTATACACAACACCTCCAGCTTGAAAATGATAATACAAGTATAAAATCAATGTAAGATACAATAAAATGCACTGAAAAAACATTAATAAAAGATAAACTATGACCGTAAACATCAAAACCATAACCTGACATATAAGACAGAATCCGAAATCATCAAAGTCATAAGACAAGAAACTTAACCACTAAACAGAAACTATACCTCAAAATTTAATCATTTGGTAGAAGTGCAAATCATTAAGAAAACTTAACCACCATAAGATAAAAGCAACCAAGTATAACCATCAAGAATATAAGCCAAAATAATGCTTAAGCACCATTTATGGCACAAGCACCACACAATGTTTAATTACGATAGATAGAAGCTTGTATCAAAGAAAAATTACAACCATTGCCATACAAACATGTCTTCAATGAGAAATTTTTCTCAAACATCTAGTGAGTATAGTAGTAATACAACTCCAAACGGGGAACCTTGTGTCAAATAGAAAAGAAATATCACTAGAACCATTAAAGGAGTAAAACATGGAACACTTGGTGAGCAAAATCTTACGTCACCAAACCAGAAAAAGAAAATTCAAACCAATGCATCT